CAGTCGCAGCCGCCGCGGTTTACATCCTCCCGCTTCCGTCTGATGTGGGTGTGATCGCTGCTCCGTTCGAAAAGTTTGTTGTTGGGCATCCTTCGTCAGATTGTCCCACCAAGCCGTGCCATGAATGTTGGTGCAAGCCGAGGCGAAATACAACGAAATGCTGAAAAGCACCCTGACGCCTTATGCTCCTTTGCCTCAACCTCGTGCAGAGAAGTACGAGCCTTGCTTGCATAGGCCTGACGATTCAGACGTGGAGGAAGGCCCAAGCCCTCGCAAACCTCGTCATTCTGAGGATTATTCCCGTGTGGATATTGGCATGACGCCTTCAACTTCTACTGTGTCTAAGCGTGCCAGTCATCCTCAGGACGTAGTATATTGATTGAAGGATATTGAAAGTGGATAGACTTGAAGCTGGCGCCCCTTGTAGGACCAGTCTTGGCAGACTTTCTGGTGAATAACTGCGGCGGCTGACCGTGACGATTCAACCACAAGAACCAGAAGACTCTTCGCATTCCGGTGACAGACAGCGGTGGGGTCGCCTCCTTGGACTACGGCTCGGGCTTGGTCGACGAGATGTCAACTCTCACCGCAGCACGACAGCACACAAGCCTACATCGTCCTTTCTTGCGTCCAGGGATTGCAGGCCGTGGTGAACCCATATGATGTGAGTGCTGGAGCCAGACCAGATCAACGACGGCGGCACACAGCAAGCCAAGCCTTCGAGATCGAGCGCACTTGACTCATTGACTGGCTCGCAGGAAAACGATTCTTGCAATTTCTTGCATCCGGCTGTCCTGCAGAGTTGTTGTTATCCTGTCGCGCCAAAGCGCATTGCTTTTGCCGGGTACATGCAACTTAGAACACAGTCTTTTGACGGCCTCCATCGATTTATAAGTCCGCCTTGTGGTGCAGTCTCGAGACTACTACGGATGCAGTCCTGGCTTTGATCGCATCTGTGTCTTGCGCTCGGGTTGCAGCTTGCTGCAGGGGGGCCAGGTTGTTCTTGATTATGTTGCTTTGCGTAGCCGGACTGACACTTCTTGACCATGGAGATGTCTTGTCAGGTGTCAGATTCGGCTTGGATCTTAGTGTTTACAAGTCCTTGCAAAGTGTCAGTTGCGGTAAGCCAACGCCTTTTGCATGTGAGTTTGAAGGTCTGTCCTAGATTCTGCAAGTGAGGAGGACTGGATGCTCTGTTGAAATTTCAGCTACTTGATTGTGAAGTTGTCCATCGGGACATTTTACACAATTGGCTCAAGAAAGGACTTCGCCAGAGAGGTGGAAGGTTTCAAGGGCCGAGAGCACCAGTGCAGCGATTGGGTCCTCCCCCCGCTGGTTGCGAAGCTGTATGCTCCTGGGCGTTGGATGCACGCAAAATTTTGCGCACCTCGCGCACTCCGCTGGCAGAAGTGCCACAGAGAGCGGGATGAGCAAGGAGGGGCCAGGAGGGGAAGGAGAGACTAGGACCCCTTGGATCCCCTTGGCCTTCAGCTGGAGGGCCCCCCGGCAGCGGTGCGCCACGTGGTGCCGAACATGGACATGACCGAACTAGTAAAAAACATGGCGCCGACAAACACCTCTCGCCAAAACGCTGCGACGCCCAGCAAGTCCATGTAGCTTCCGGAGATGGTGCTGGCCGAGCAGCTGCCTGATCCGGACGGCGAGATCACCTTTCACGCAGCGGCCGACGAACTGGTGGCGCAAGGCAGGGCTTGCGAAACGAGGAGGGCACGTGCGAGGACACCGCCTACGACGAGAAGCCAGCCTTTGAAGAGGATGGCCAACTTGTTGCAGATCGAGCAAGAAGCGCATATTGCGCGAAAAGGGACGGGAAAGCAAGAGGCTTTCGCCCACCTCCGGCCAGGCAGTTCTCTGCGACCAATGCCGTCGATGTGGGCAGTGGGGGATTGTCCCACTCAGCTTTGCCGATCGTAAATCCACTACCCGTCTTCACCGAGAATCAGGTGATCGACTTGGAGGGCGCAGCTTGCAGCGCCTGGTGCATGCTGCAACGTTGCACCGGCTTAGCTGCCGGCACTGTAAGGCCTCTGCCAAGGGAAACAATCATCGCCATGTGACATGCTTTGATTGTGGGGCTCTTCTGGAGCGATCCAAGAGTACATGCGCAGCTGCGCATGCAAGATAGAACATCGCCGAGAGTCTCCCGAAGCAGCTGCTTGCGCCCTGAGGTGACATGGCGTGGCGGCAAGAGGACCTGCCTGGATTGTGGCCAGCTTGTTCTTCCGCAAGAGCAAGGGGATCGACCAGCAAGCGCTGATGCCAGAACTTGAAGCCGTCTGGAGCCAGTTACGCAAGGATCAGCGGGCTCGAATGAGACTGGTGCCCTATTCGTGCTGCCGCTCGGCACCTCCACATGATGACCGGACACTCCTGGCCTACAGGTTGCGCTGGATTGCTTCAAGGTCTGGGACGCGAGCTGTGCCGCTGCACTGTGCGAGAGCGGAGGTCTGGGTGTGGCTATCAGGGAGTGCCTGAAAGCCTTTCGGGCGATGTGGCTTGACCTGGCTGCGTTCGTTGGACCGACTTCCCTTACCAGCTTCCCAGAGGAGAGCGGCAAGGCTTCTGAGGCAAGTTTTCCAACATGTCATCGAGCCCCGTTGCGTGACCATGGAATCTGCAAGCAGATGCTCCTTTCCGAAGCCACGTTTGTCAGGAGGGTCTCCTGGCCTTACGTCGGTCTTCGTCCCACAACTGCATGGCTGAGATGTCAGGGCGTCCACCCGCGAGCGGGGATGGCTTACTCCGGACGGGCAGCACGCAACTGCGCAGCCTCCTTCGGCTGATAATCATGCGAAAAAACTATCGAAGCCAGTCCGACATCTGACTGGCAAGGGATCCCACGAAAACGTTCCAGTCGTCCTTGTCCTGCCCGGTGCTTCCTCTGCCGGTCCAAAACACAGGCATCAGAGATCAGGACCTGGCCGCGCGACTTCCCCCTGAAGCTTGGGTCGTTGTTGTGTGGCACCATCTTCTACTCCGGCTGTCCGTGGCCGCCTGCTGTCAGTAACTAGAAGTAGCTCTTGTGGTAGCCCAAGTCGTCAAGCGGTTTCCATTTCCGCGGCGGGGCGGCCCAGGTTCGGGTCGCAGGCGTTAAACCAGGAATCAGCAGGCTTTGCTCTCCGTCGACGCAGTTGGGAGAAGTGCTCGGTTCGCGGTTCGCCCGACATGTGATGCTGGCCCCGAGAAAAGAAGGTATGATGCCGAGATGAACAATGGGCAGGTTGGACAAGTCTGCATTGGACAAGGAAAAGCGTACCTGCCATATGCCGGAGCACTTTCCAAGCCGAGACATTGAGCCTGTTGTGGGAATGGAAACTCTATTGACGTGGTGGCTTCAACACAAGTGATCTCGACAGCTTCGCGTGGAGAGTTCGGCCGTTGAGAGGTGGAGTGGTGTGAGACCCACTCTATGGCAGCGGGTGCCGTCACTACTTGAATGGAGATTGAGTAGCTCATGAAGCTCATGAGTTCTGGATGGATGCAAATTGCTCGTGGGCGCTCTTCGAAGATGGATGCTCGAAAAGAGCGGCCCAGCTTTTTGAAACACATCAGTGCAAAAAACCAGGGGCAGATAAGTACAATACAGTCCAGTCAGTTCAGCTTTCAGCAGATGATCGACTGGCAATGTGGTGATTGTGGGTCTCTCGCAAGCTCGTTGCCGGTTCGACAGTTTCAACCCAGGCACAAAGCTCAGATGATCGTGAATCAAAAATCAAGGTACAGGTTATGATGGTCATGGTCATAGTGATGGTGATCGTAACAATGGTAACGGCAACGGTAACGGAAATGACAACGCACAGACTCCTCGTGCAGTTTGAATCGCGGACATGCGGGCTTCTGTAGCAGTAGCTCTCGTGGCATGCACCCTTTTCGTATTAGTTGGCGGCATGAGCTTGAGATTAGGACATTTGGTGAAGCCCGAAGCCTTGAACCTTGCAAGCAAAGACCAAGCTGCAGGTTTAAGGTTTGGGTTCAAGCAAGGGTTGCCGGGCAACGCCCCAGGCCCAAGCCCTTCGTGCACAGTTTCGAGTTTCGACATTGTTTCAAGCAGGCCTAGACCTGCTCGAATCTGGGCAAAACGCTACAACTAACATTTGCAAAAGGCACAAGTAAACACAGACCTGAGGGTCAAAGCGAATGTCAACGACAGTCAGAAGTGAACAGCCGGTGCTCGACTCCTGCGAAATCGGTATGCTTAATCCCGATGTCACCCACGCTCAACATCAGGTCTGACAACATCAGGTCTAACGGCAACCCCGAGGGTAGGCTGAAATTGAAATTGCATCAGGGACCGTTGCAAGTTCTTCAACTTGGAATAATGCACGTATGCACCTCATGCACCTCATTCGAATGGCAAACAAAAGAAGTCTGATCTGATGACCGGACAGGACATTTACCAGTTTCTAAGCGCGGACGAGACGCAGATCTGCGAACAAGTTCTCAAGTACGCTGTGCTTGTGACCAGCAACGAGGCCTCAGCCCTACGGCATGGTGTCCAGGTTTGCTCTTTCGGCTGTTTCGGCTGACAGGTGGCTCACCTGCACAAATGCCAAGACACGCTCCAGGCTCAGGATCGAGAGCTGTGCTGATAAGGGCAGTTCCGGCAATAGCGGCCTGGTGCGTCTCGGAGCTAAGGTGGGTTGGCAACATGGAGACACGACTCGACCGGCTAATGCGAGCTGCAGAGATAGCAGAAGCAGCACAGCAGCAGCTTCTGGTGGTGGAGGCAGCATGATCCCGGCTTGGTAGAATCACAGCATTTTAAACAGTGTTCCAGCGCAAGAAGTTGGCTGCGGAGTTTGTAGATGTGGCTCAAGAGACTCTGAGCAGCGTGTAGTTTAGTGCAGCTTCGGCAGCGACCGGTCCCATGCCTGGGTTGTCCAGCATGATCAGTGGGCATCAATCATCAATACCGATTGAAACGTTTGAAACAAAGAACAGTGACGTTGCTCACTAGCCTCAGGTGGGCGGCATCTCCAATGACATCAAATCGTGCATCCTGTTCGCTGGCCATTCCTCCAAGAACGTGCCCCTTTCGGTGGACTGGGATTAGGCTTAGAGGAGAGCTAGCGTTTCTCGTCGCGAGAGGTACGGCTGCCCAAAAGGCAAGTTCTGGTCAGGGGTCGGTGAGTCGCCTGGCTCAGCAGCTGTAACCCGTTGAAGGCCGTAAAGGTCTTCCTACACGAAAAATCCTTGCAGGTTGCAGCGCTATCCTCCGCTTTGGGAGGACACAGAGGGTGTCTTCGAAGAGTGCGCATAAATTGTCCTTGCGGACAAGAACTGTTCGGTGTTTGATGCGACTCTGCAATGCAGAGGTACTTGAATGGCCCTTCTTTGTCACCTTCCAGGCATCAGAAGTCACTGGGGACGAACCTTGGCTGGAAGTCTTGCTGAATTCCACCTTTTTAGAAGATCTTCTGAACGCAGAGGTCAAGGGGCCTAATGGAGCTTCACTATGACTCCATGCGAAAGAAGGCCCAGGCCTTCTGGATGCTTTGGGCTCAGCAGTTGACTGCTGGACAGTGAACGGACTCGTTGCGAGGAGCGGGCCAAATTTCCTTCACAAACTGAAACTCCAAGCATGGGAAGGGCATCTGGCTCAGAGGGTACAGTTTCCATGCATCGGCAAAATGTGCCCCACAGAAGCTTCCCGACTTCAACTTCAGGCCTATGCTGCTTGCTCTGGCTACAGCACCCTGCGCTGCAATCATGGCAGGTGCTTTGAGTTGCCTTTGCTGCCAAACATGGTGCTGCAAAGGCGGGCTGATCCCCGGCAAGCTTTCAGGCAACGTCGCGGCAGCCCCAGCCGGGACGTGACTTGAACGACGGCCTGATGCAAAAGATCAGGTGGGCTGCACTTTTTCTGAGGGCAGCAAGCTTGCCAACGACGGGGCTCCCAAAGATCGTTCGAGTCCATCTTTTTGCACAAGCTGACCTGCTCGTCTAAACTCAAAACAAATGTGAGGAGACTCACGGCCACAACTTCCCGCGTCCAATGTCCGGAGCGGGCATCTTAAACAGAGGATCTTCGGCTTCCAGCCCGAGGAGCATGTTCAAGCGCGTGACTCTTGAGTGCGATTGTTGAGGTGACATTTACGCTGGGCTTCCGAAGCAACTCGTCGAGGCTGGAGCGCATCAAGAGACCACGCTCGCAAGTTACGCCGTGTGTTGTCTTGTTCAGGCTTCGGACCAACAGCCTCCCAAATCTGCAGGACGATTCGAGCAGGCCAGCAGTTCATGGGAATCCGACCTAGTAAGCATTCCATGTAAGTTTTTTAAGACCGAGCACGGATGGCTGCGTGCGCTGATCACGCGTGGGTGAAGTGGTACAGAGGAAAACTGTTGTACCTTGCAGCATGTGGCTAGCACGTTGATTTACTTCCCTCTGTAAGTCCTGCATGGACCAAAAGAGTGTGCAGCCTCACGAACACCATTTCAGGGGACAAAACAAAACCAGTGGCAGTTTCAGAACTCTTATAGTGGTTTATCTTGCTTCGGACGCAGAGCGCGAGCATCTGTAAGCTGCTTGAAGACTACCCACTCCAGCCCTGATATGCACCAGAGAGGCAACAGCCATACCGCTGAGCTTTCTGCTTGAATCTGTCAGCATTGTCGAGATTTACTGGATTGATGGGCCAACGTTGCGAGGTCGACATTGTCCCAGGCTGGGTGGGGCGCGCTGAAATGCTGAAGCAGACGCCAGAGGCGAATTCCTTGCTTCGAAGAAGCAAGCTTCTGCCACAAGCGCTCAGACGGAGGTGTCATGATGCAAACCAGACGTGATCGGAGCGCTGTGACGGAGGCCGGGCTCCATCTTGCTCGCATCTGCTGCTCCAGGGAGCATCTTCCTGCCTTGTCCAGGCTCAGAGGTGCCTTTTTCAGATTCTCATTGACTCAAGGCTCGATCGGCTTCATCCTTGTCATGCTCTTGTGTCACCCGGCAACGGCTGCCTCTCAAAGTGTGTTTTGCATGTGAGGCCCTTGTGTGCTGGCGAAGGCAGCCTGTAGCCTTGCCTGGTATGTTTGCTTCGACGTCGAAGGTCCGCCGAAGGCGAATCCTCGACTATTGGTAGCTCTGATTCCCACATTGTAGGAGCAGCTGTCGCATGAGCCCTAGCCTGGTTCATACTGACACACGGATGCCCAATGCCCAGCAATGCTGACTAGCCGACTAGGACACTTTTGAGTCGGGAGGAACCGGTGTGGGAGAAGCTGCACGCAAGCAATTGTTGGTTCGAACACGACAATAGAAGCTGGCGTCTTGCTCTTGTCCAAGTCAGCTTTTGACTGAGCTGCTGCAGTCAGAACCCCCGAAACCTCATGTGATAGCCTTTTGCTCTGCTGGGAGATGGCACGAAGTGCTGCATAGAATTCGCTTCTTATCCTCTTATGCTGTTTTCCACTGCATGCCGAAGGTTATCCAGAGTCAGCAGGGAGGAAGCATTTTCGATCCTCGATGACACAGGGAAATGAGCTATGAAAAGTTGTTTTCTCGTTTCGAGGGCAACCGGGAAGCGCGGTGGGTTTCTCTGGAGGCCCAGCTGGCAGGCCTTGGAGGTCAGCAGAAGGGGAAAGTGAAGAAGGCGCTCTGAGTGGCTGCGCTCGCTTGCCAACGTGCTGGGCCTGGGCCTGGGCTGCTATCGACGCTTCCGCGAGCGCGAGGTGTTAGGACATTTTGCTTCTGCCTCGAGCCGGCCAAAACCTCAGCAAAAGCTTGGCCGCGGCTTGGCCTTGGCCCCTTGGCGCTTCCCCGTGCTTTTGCTTTGGGCAAGGTCGCTGGCGTGTGCCGCCCTCGCTGCGTGGCGAGGATTACTAGAACAAACTAAGGTGACCTGACTGAAAGATGAACAGCTGACAGAAGAAAGAGAACGTGTCCTGCAAAGCATGCGGGATTCAGGCAGACAAAGCGCTGCGAGATATGTACGAGGAGCAGATAGCCGATGCAGAGCGTCACCTTCTCAGAATGAAGGCCGCACTACCGCATGCAATAGGAATCTACAGTTGATACTACTGAACGCTAGAGCATGCAACTGATTGCACGATGCGGCAGGCGAGCTGCAAAGCTTTGGCGAAAGACAATGTCGATCACATGGTGCGGACCCTCGTAGTCCGACATTTTGATAGGGTCAGAGTGCTTATGACATCGTGTACGAAAGCACGATCACTAAAATTGGCATGGATTGACTGCTCAAATTCGAAGGCTGCTGGCCTTCTCTCAAGAACCTTTCCGCCTTTCTCCAGGCAAAGGCCCGTGAGCAAGTTCTTCTTCAGCAGTGGCTGCTGCTCTGGCAGCGTGAGGTTGGAGTCCGATAGCGCGACCACAGAGCCCCCTAAAGTCCTAAAGTGTCCCCGGCAATGAAAGTGTTCTGCAGTCGGAGGTGGTTGCATTGAAGTCCGACAGAGTGGCACAGGACTGGCACGCTAGCCGGATGGTTTCCCAGTTGCAAGATGTGGACGTTTGGGCGATGGCCGCATTTGTACAGTTCCCGGTCTGGCAGGAGCAGGTGCAGCAAGTTTTGGGAAGGTCGCTCAAAAAGTCTTCAAGGAGCTGTGAAGCCGAATGCTACACAGCCTGCCGTTTGCTCAGGGTCTACACCACGGCCAAGAAGCAGGCGAGCCACACTACTCATGCTTGCACCTGAGAGTCATCCGAGGGATTCTGGAAGCATGCTGCCAGCATCACCCAGCCACGAGATGTCTCCCCTTGCAGAGGTGATGACGCGGCAAGCACGGGAGCAACAAGCAGCCCTCCTGGGTAATGTCCTCAGCCTCCTTCGATTCAGACTACGTGCATCGCGGAGGCATATAGACACAGGGACAGAGCCACTCTCCGAGGCGAAACATGGGCTCTGTGGCTCTGCTTTGTGTCCGATTGCCGAAAGGAGACTGGAGGGGAGTCGGGTGCTGCGGCCCTGTCATGCTTGGTTTACTTGTACCGAGTTCATGTAGACCCTTGAAGTTGCCGCCCTGGGACGGAGAGTCAAGGCATTGTGCCGAGCTTTGGGCTTTGCTAGGCTTTTGGAGGCCAGAACGAAGTGACACGCTTTTCCTAAAGTAAACACTCGGTCCCTGCAGACTCCTCCCGAACGGAACATCCAAGCGGCCCTGGCCCTCCCGGTGCCCGGCTTGACGTCGATGCCGCCATGGCTGCGAGCATGCTCCGCTCGCTGGAGGGTTTCAGCTGGCAGGCGCGAGAGCAAGAGTTTTTTCTGGCTCTTCGAGAGCTCTCGCTGCAGGCCGCACGAAAACGTCTTCGAACAGCTCCGGAGTTGCACGAGGCTTTGTGGCTGTTGTCACATCTTATGACTCTATCAGCTTCATGCTCAGGAGCTGGCTGGAGCTTTCCAGCGGGAGGATGAGCTCCAGGAGGAAATCCAGCCCGAATCTTCAGGGCTCGGGGCCTGGCAGAATCTTCATTTCCTTGTGTGCTTGTGCCCGCAGCTCTTGAGGCCACCACAACATGCAAAGGGGCAATTGGAGAACGTGGAAATGAAGTGCAAGAGGCACTCGTAGGTCTTGGGGCTACCCTTGGTGCTCGCATGCCGTGAACGTCGCGACAGGCTCAGAGCCGAAGGCAGCTTCCTGGCCCAGGCCGAGCGTTACGCAGAGGCACCTAAGCCTGCTTGCTGCTCTCTTGTGAGCGCAAATTGCGAGTGCAAAAGCGAGTTTGATTGTTGTATGGACACTTGGCGGGGGATATCGGCTGAACCGTGCGGGGTGTGAAGGCATCGCTAACACAATGCTTGAGATCTGTGAGGCAGGGCTCGTGCGATACAGGAGAACACGTCCGGGTGGAGTGTGGTGACCTGGTCACTCCAATGACCCAGACGGGTCTTCAGACATCGAAGACTGTTGAAAGATTCCTTTACTTTTGGGGTTGAGCCTGAAATGTCGGCATGAATAGATTCTGGCTTCTGCGATTCAGCGTGGCGACATTGGTACTCACACCCCACTGTAGAACAAGTCAGTGTGTGGTGCTAAGCAAGCAAGTTGCTTGAACATACAGCCTCTTTGCAGTGCGATGCTTCTAAACGTGTTGGGACGCGCACTTCGGCACACGCTGCCCTCCATCGGTACTTCCTCGCACGGACCTGCCCAAAGCATTTCTGACCAGCAGCTGATGACAAGCTACGTGTACACTTCCAACAGTCACCAGTGGAACACAGCGCACGACAAATGATTCAGCGCTTCTAGCCAAGAAGCCTGCAGCTCTGCCTTAGTTGTGGGGCAGAGGCATACGATTAGTGATGTGAATATGTGGTGCATGGTGGGTAAGAGGAACCGCACACGCATGCACACTCGCGCACCCGTAGATGTGCACATGCCCGCACACAACTGCCCATGCACTCCGCAGCTCACGCACACACAAAAGCCCGGGAGAAGCTTGGCACTGCAGCTGTTCACATGATTCAGGCTGCAATTTCCAAAGGACGTTTTGCATTTTTCCAGGGGGATCCGAGGCTCCGACCAAAACATATCAGTTGGTTTTCATTGCCTACTGGTAGGTCTTGTGCCGATGAGCATGCTCGCATGTGTCTTCTTGCTGTTCTCATGTCTGGTGTTGCATGAACACTGCTTTCGGAAGAAGGCTGAATGAGACGGGCATGCAGATGCAAAGCACAGCTTGGCTGCTGGCAGGCGTTGCAGCACTGGGAAGAAGCTTTGCTTTTCACTGAAGACATCTTTGAACGAGCCCCGGTATTGGAGACACCCTGTCATGTTTGATGAGTGTGGGCTCTCCATGATGTCATGTTTAATCAAGCCGGTTTGCCAGGCAGATGGCTCAGGTGCTGCTCATACTGGAGAGGCCATTCGACGCAATCAGGCAGGCCTCAAGTACTCGTATCTTTGCGCATTGTGGGCCCTCTTCGCCTCCGTGCATGCTCAGGACTGCGGAGCAGGCCGTCGAAAGCCGGCCCGACACTCTGCCGTCTGTAGCACCGTTCTGCGCTTGTTTCGGCTTTGTGGCCGAGGGTCCATGAGGTCGCATGATGCTGCTGCTGCTGCCGCTGCTGCTGCTGCTGCTGCAAATCACCGAACGACTGACCATCAGCTTCAAATGCGCATTTCGTGGGTTCGATGACAGAACTCAAGTCTAGCCAGCTCTTTCGCCTAAATCAAACGACATTGTTGCATTCCAGGCGCTAGCTCGTGCCGTAGGGCTTCCCGAAGACGACGCACCCAGTCAAAAACAGTGAGATTTGCCATGGGCATCCGGCGAGCTCTGCGACTGGCAGCTTTGGCATGGCTGTTGCTACACACGCAGCCAATGCTTTGGGCTAAGCGGCAAAGCGATCAAAGCACGTGCACCGCCATTGTATTTCGCTGCTTTGCAAACATGTCCAGGCTACGGAAAGGCAATGCCTTCGCTGGCATCAGTTTGCCTTCCAGACCTTCGCCGGTCCCGCACCCAAATGTTGCGGATCCTCGCAATCTCGAAGGGAGAAGGGAGCCTGCATCTCAGGCTCATCTCACGTCTCGATCCGCAGCTGGCAGAGGCGTGGAGGTTGCAGCTACCTTCTCAGATCTCGTGCATCTCGTGCGAGTTGTGGACGGAATGCTCTGAGAGAAGGCGCTGACTCAGGATGACTCAGACATGCTGCGGAAGCTGAAGGCATGGAAGAAGACGCGGCTTTGGCCTCGGCCGCCCACGCCAGAGTGGCAGAGAGAGCTGCAAGCCGAGGGCAAAAGGCTTTGGGGAGCCAAAGGCCGTGGAGCCGGAGGAGCCTGCGCCGCAGGCGCCACAGGCGCCGCAGGCCGAGGCAGGCCGAGGCCGAGGCCGAGTGGCCGCAGATCCGATGGGTCCAGCGGTCCACGACAGGCCGCGCCTGCACCGCCTCCTCCCTCTGCCGTGATGCCCAAGGCGCTCGATGTGGCATCCCCAGACCAGAGTGCTTACGGCTTCTGCACTGCAGTGCGCGCTTCTGGCTTGCACATCCGCGAGCAGCACTCAGGCGGTATCGGAGCTGCTCAGAAGGACGCTGCGGCTGTGGCTGTGGGAAGGGCATCTGCCATGCACTAAGAGCAGCAGCGACCTTAGTCCCTGAGCCCTGAGGGCCACGGAGGATGTGCGGCCGACAGAGTTTACACCACAGCAGTTGGTCCGAGCCACTTGTCAAGAAGTTGAAGAAGAATGTGCCGTGGCGGTGTCTGCTTGCAGTCTCTCTCTCTCTCTCTCAGGTGTTCTATGCCTTCTTCAGAGGCTGGCGACAAAAGCATGGCCTCCCGGATGAGTTCCAGCTGAGCACGAAGCACCAGGAAATGGTCCTTCGGCACAGCACGAAGCGATCTTGGCATTCGTGTGAGGGGAGGAACCTTGTTGCATTCACCGAGCCGAGTGCAGGTTGTTCTCATGATTCAGAGCACCTTGACCCTCGTCAATTCCGAGCAGGACATCGATGTGGCTGAAAAGCTCCGGAATTGCCTGGCTGTTTCAATGACGAGCCGGAAGCTTTATGCTGCTTGGAGGAGTTTTGGCCACGGCTTTGTGCTGAACTTGGAAGCATCTGGGCACGACCAGACAGTGCAAAGGATTGCTCGAATAGACAACGCTTGCGGAAGTGGTCGTTGACAAATTGCTTCCTAGATAGTTCAATGGGTGCAACGAAGGCCTAGGGCTTTAAAAGGTTTCAAACCAAAGGAATTAAGCGTCGGGGGGACGGGTGGTCCCCCCACCCCCCTGACACTTAGGGCTCCCCCCCCTTGAAGGCCATGCTTGCAAGCATAGCCGTTTGTAGAGTTTCGATTTGTTGTTACTCATAGCCGTTTGTAGAGTTTAGAGTTGTTACAAGTACCACTTATCACAAGCCTCTGCCGTCCTGCTTCTAGCTTTCGTAGCCCCGCTCTCAAGTTGTTTTCGACTTGACACGGAAGCTATGGTGACCACCGGCGGCAGGAAGGAGCGGAGAACGAAGGAAGGAAGCCGTCAAAGACTAGTACGATCTCCTTTGGCGCATCAGCTGCGTATGAAACAAGCTGAGCAGTTGGCTCGGAGGCCGAATTCTGTCCTGTCTTTTCGGCATGGCCAAGTGTAGTGCCATATGTTCTGTGAATGCTTCTTTCTGGGTGCTGCTGTTTCAGGGTGCCATTTCTGCTACGCAAAACTGCAGATCCTTTCTTTCTGGGCCGGTTCGTCCGACGACTAACGACGACAATATCTGCGCGCAAGGGTGCAGTTGGACGCAACACATGTGCACCTCATTATAAGATGGTGCCAGCCGGCGCCACCGAAAGAGGTCGGGTGAACACTGCCTCAAATCACTGCAGCAGCTCGTTTGACAAGTTCCGACTGAAAAATCCTACAGCCGATGGCCAACACCATGTAATTGAGTTGTATTCAAAAGTATTCAAGCTCAGTGTTGTCTGCCCTCCTTCACGGGGGCCTGTCCAAAGCGAGGATGTAATTAGTCAGGCTGCGTCTTCATGTGCAAAGGACACCCGAGAGTTAGCTGTTGTGAAGCTACTTGTGCTTTTCCGTTAGATGCTTGTCAGTGAACAGAATCACAACGTGCTGAATTTCTTCTCTGTAGAGTTTTGCCTTCACGGGACGGAAGCAGCGACACCAATGGCTTTCTTGCCTGATGCTGTTCTCTAATCAATGGACAGAAGCTCAGAGTTAATGTCATGTTGTGGCCACGTTGCTATTCTTCGGATCCTGTCTGAATCCTCATCGCATCGCTGAACTTCTGCATGCCGGAAGGCCCGTGATGGCCCGTGCCAGCGCGTCATGAAGCCAATTTGATCATGAAAGCCAGGTGCTCCCGGTTCACATCACACGCAGGGGGGGACCACGAAAGTAAGGCGACTTCTCTTGCGAAGGGACTTGGTCTGCTGCTTCAAACAAGTCTCGACGACACGGAGTTTCCTAGAGAAGCCCACAACCGGAAATCAAGCCACAAGAAGCGGAATCCTGCTTTCCGGTTCGCGGCCTCGAAAACCTTTCCAAGCCAACCACACTGCAAAGGTAGTCGTGATCCAGAAGCTCGAGAGCTTCTTCTCGCCCTCACAGGAGTGTTTGAGTGAGCACAGAAAATGCGCGACCGCCAGTTGCAACCTACATAAACAGAATGCAAGTATGACCGCAACACTCAAGAGCCAGACCTCGGTTGCTTCGCGTGTGGAAAAGTCTCGAGCGCTTTGCATGCGCTACGGCCATAGACGGCCCCTGCCTTGCGTGAAGCGAGGCCACTTTGGTACGCGGGCCACCTGACCTTGGGCCGAGCCCGCCGCCGGCGCGTTTTTGAGGATTCATGATGCCACAGCCTCACCGCGGCACCAGTCTGTCAAGGCACTGCTAAATTTCGGCGAGCTCGAGAGGGCGGTGGAGTGCCTACGCGAAGCCCCTATTGCCCGCTGCATGCACCCCTGACGAGCGCATTCACGAGCAAGGTCGGGGCGCATCCTTGTTGGAGGACGAGCGGCTGCACCATGTGCCATGTGTCATGGACCTTCCAGCCGAAGGCTCAAGTCCAAGACAAAGGCAACTCAAGCGATGCCGAGGCACATCACACGTTGAAGTCCAAAACTGGCTACTTCTCGTACCTCTGAGGAGCTTACCGAGATTCGCCTCGAGCTTGCTGAAGCCGAGAAGCTCTATGCAGAGGCGATCAATACGGCCGCCCATGCTGCCCTTTTTTTCATCCTTTTTTCAAGACCTGAGAGGTACGAGACCGTGCGAAAAGCACTTCGGAGCAGGCCTGGCTGTGACGCTGATACTCGGACACATTCTGTGGCTGAAAGTGCATCTCCACGGTCTATGGCTTGAAGCGGTAATTCAACAGCATGCGGCAAGAATCTTCGCAAAGATGCAGACATTTGGATTCAGTTTCATTTAATCGCTTTCGGTTGCAGGCAAGTGCCGCCCCTAACTATCCGGAATTCAACCGAAGCCAATCAGCCATAAACCGTGAGATTCTGGTCAACTTAAACGGAACTGTCATCATCAACCTGCAAACTGGCGAAAAATCTTTGTCACTCGAGCTGATGCGCCGCCCAACCTAAACAATACCTCCACAAACTCTCTTCCTGGCGCGCAGACGCGCTCCTCACCAACTGAATTGGCCCCGGCACGTGCTGCCGCAAACGGCTTGCTAGACCCTCAAGTCCGAATCCAAGAGCTTTCTGTCATGGCACCGCCACTGGTGCATCCAAGTTCTTGCTGCCAGCAGAACAGGGGGTACATGCTGGTGCAGCTGCTGCAGCTGCTGTGAACGCAGAGTCCGAGCATGGAAAACTCTACCAGGACCAGATCAGGGACAATACGCTCAGACCCGGAACTGCAGTTGCCAACATTGGCGGAGCGGCTTGGTGGGGAGCAGATGGGGGACGAGGAGTTGACTGGGTCAGAACGCGTGCTGCGAATCAGGTGACGGGGTGGTGGACTGGTGGAACCCCGTTCACAGAGGGCGAGAAACCCTTGTATGCATATCATTTTGGGATGGTTTGAAGGAAGTTTGGGCAGCAGACTCAGCAGACTCAGAGAGAAGGAGCCGGAGTGAAACTTGCCCTGCTGTGCTGCCGGAGTGGACGGATCTGGCTCGCACGCCAGGTGATCATCAATGGTCGTGTTGTTGAATCGCACTTCTGGGAGTGCTGCCTGCATGTGCATTGCTTTTTTGGTTCAGTTGCCGGCTTGTCTGTGTTTGTAGGTGATTGTATGGCAGGACGGCTCACCGCGTGACCTACGATAAGGATGGAAGACCCACCACTCACTATCCAAGTTGCTTGCCCGAAAAAGTCGCAAGCAGTCTCTCTGCAGCAGACAGTTTTTCAAAGCCAGACAATTCAGCCGAGGTGGATGAAGAGAGCACCTGCTGCATCCAGAAAAACTACCTGCATGGCGTCCCGATGCTTGCAGAGTTTGCTTGAAGAGTCGTTGCAGCTAGCATCTTATCAAGTTCCACAGCTGCATGCAGCGCAGTGCGGTGCTTGAACAGGAGCGACTGTTCGAGCAGGATGTCAAGCACTTTGAATTGAGAATGAAGGTCTTCATGCACCAGCGTGCAGTCATGGTGGTACGGTATAGCTGACGCAGTTCTCACACCAGGAGCATCTGCGGCAGAAAACGCAAGAAGCCAGAATGATCTTCGCACGTGGCTAAGACGTCACTGACCAGGGTATGAAGGCAAAGCTAGCTGTAGACTTGCCCAGGATCGAGTGGGTGCTGCCACACGCACTGGTCTTCTTGCCAGCATTCTCTGGGCTTGGCAGTGCTCCGTCATAGAGGCATCTATACGGTGCTGTGCTTCGCCACGCCTTAGATGTAGACCGTGGCATCGGATGGGTGGAGTTTCATGCTTCTACCCAGACAGAATAGGCCGCAGATTGGGGCGATAATTCTGCAAACCCAGTGAAAGAGCCAGTACTTGGCACAAAGTCCCCTAAACTGAACCACATGGGGATTGGAACTTTGCGGTCGTTCTTATGTCTCGCCTTCCTGTACTGTAATGCTTGTGCCGGCCGAAACCGTTGCCCAGCCAGAGCTCACGTGTGCATACACAGGTGCTCGTGTCCACATTGGCCTCTAAGCATCTTCAACTCCAATGTCGTGTAGTGCACGTGTGCACCTAGGGATTGGCGTGCAATCTTGCGTGTCCGTTGTCTTTGGTTGGAGCTGGCTTTACGATAGTCGTGTTTCGCACGAGCTCTCAGTCGCGGCGAGAAGGCCCGCGGTTCGTGAGAGGTTTTGCTGGCTAATGTCTCCTGCTCGTGAGCCGCACTGTGCGTCCGGACCTTCGTTCGCATCGCTTAGCCAGGCCAGGCACGAAGTGCGACTTTCCACGCACACCAAGCCTCTCGGACAGTGGACTCGAGAAAACGTCCGACGTGGGAGAGAACTAGTTCGCGTTGTGCCACAGACCACGAAGCCTTGATCTTCAGCTCGGTCCTGCCATCTTCATCGCATCCGCCCCATCCGACCCCTGCTGCATTGCTTTCCTCTCTCGTACTTTCAATAGAGAAGTTGTGTCCCTGATCGCAAGATCAGGACGAGGGGATGACTTGAGTTGCGATAGTAATGCAAAGGCGAGTGTAGAGGTAGGAGAGAATATCAACGATCCCAAGAAGCGTACACTCGATACTTCCTGTATGTTTGAACCTTGCCACTGGCCAGGGCCGGAAGCTGCAGAGCATCCAAAACCAAGTGACGGAAGCATCGCTAGAGCATCCGGCTCAGGAAAGCATGCTGACATGCTGGAGAAACAGCACAGACGTCACTTGTCGAGGGTGGATGGTCTAAAAATGCGTCAAAGCACTGCCATCTGCAATGCCCTCGACTCAGGTATGCCATGAGGCCATGACATGTCTTTGCAGCTTCGGCCTCGCGAGGTACAAATGCGGACCGAGAAGCTGATGGACAGCAGCCTGGTCATTAGCGTGATCAGCGCTTGGTCCCGAGAGACCAAGGCGGTCAACTAGCAAAGCTTGCACAGAGTTTCGTTCTTGCCCCGAGCAAAGCTGTACGCAGGAGAACCATTTGGAGAAGTTCTATTCCAACAAAGTGGACAGCAAACGACGCAGAGCTTAATTGTGGAATTAGTAAACTTTAGGGTTGGCTGCTGCCGCCGCCGCCGCCGCCGCCGCTGCTGCTGCTGCTGCTGCTGCTGCTGGTGTTGTTGGTGTTGTTGGTGTTGTTGGTGTTGTTGGTGTTGTTGTGCTTGTTGTTTTGGATGTGGTCGTGGTCCTGGGCTGGTTGTGGTTGTGGTTGTGGTTTGTCGCGGCATGCTGTTGTTAGTGTAGTTGGCGACGGAGCCGATGCCGTTGTCTTAAACCGTGAGCTGCGCATCCGAGGCAAGCAGCTCACTGCCGTCCAGGGCCCTAGCATAAGTCTGTGTGTGCGTGTGTGTGTGTGTGTGTGTCGCTTCCCTTATTAATCTTGTTAATTACCTGTTTGGTAGAAACGAAGCCGATCAGGTTCAGACTCTTTTCAAGAGCTTCGCTCGAGATCTAGAGGAGGTGGGGGCATGGATCTGTCGGTCTGTTTGCGACACTGGCACCCCCTCTTGGTCACAACCGCAAGGCCTCGAAGTTGAATGTTGCGCTTCTGGTTTTTCGGCTTCTGTATGGACATCAAGATGCACAACAAGCTGTTAGTGTTACTAGTCATCATGATGTGCGGAATCGTGTCATCAGTAAGCGAAGCAGCTCAGCAGCAGACGGCACACAGATTATGCCGGAGCCTCCAGACCTGCCTAGCAATGCTAATGCGCGGCCCCGAGCATGGCCCATCGAAGCATGCTGTCTCAGCTTTGCCGGCTTGCAGCACACAGTGCAATTTCTGAAAGCCAAGGCCGTAACATATGCTGACGGTGACCAGGAGGTGCTCGCTGCCGTGATCTTGGACGTGTGTTTTTTTCGTTGGACGATCGGGGCAAGATCGATGCAGGACTGGCCCATACACACCGAGCTCTTGGCATCGGCCAGAGTTTCAGCCCTAGGACGCATGCAAATGCCTCAGCCACTGAGCAGCACTGGTTGATGTTCGTGTCTGGGCTTTCGTCCAGCTTTTGTGGCAGGCAGCTTTCTGGTCTTCAGCTTCAGCGGCCAAGCTTTCTGTTCCCAGGTGTGTAGCCGAGGGCCAAGGCCAAGGGCCATCGCGATGTAAGCCTGCAGCCAGGTCTCAAAGCAAGGCCGTTTTGGCCCCGGGAAGACTTTCCGAAGGTGCGGCCGTCTCGGAGTCAGCTGGAGTGATGTTTTGCTGGCCTCAGGTGGTCAACCTGCTCGAGGCCACCATCTTGCAGACAGCGAGCCATAAACATGCCTGAGCACCAGATTTAGAAGGCCAGAGCTCCGAGACTTTCTGCAGAGGCCGCAGTTAAAGCTCCCTAGAGAAGTCACAAGCAAACCCTTAAATCTGCACACGAGGTGCGCCAGCTACTGGCCGATGGAGATTGCAGCACTGACAGCGAGGACCGACGTGCTGCCGGCTGGATCTCCCCATTGCATTTCTGACTCCTCGATTTCCCGAGTCCTACTAAGCCCTACTACACCACGGCACTACGGACTCGTTTGAGATGTACTCTTATACAGGAGCGCTCCCCGCCGTGCAGGACGGGAATGCTTCAAGCTGCTTTGCAGAAGAAACTACTCTCTGATCCAAGTGCTCAATAGAGACACTCTGCTGTTCGGTTCGAGCAGCAGGGTCTAGGGCACCATAGGTCACGATGCGAACCGCATGCCATGTGGGTCCGTCTTCGTACTCTCGTCGGGTTATTCTGTTATTCTGGATAAAGTCCGTGGAAAGCGATCTCGACGACGGAAACAACGAGCGCATGTAGCAGCACATAGCAGCATAGAGCATCCGCTGCGGCTTGGCATGGGATGGACCTCGGGACTCAGATCTTGTCCGGCATTTCTGTTGCGCGTGGCCGTGGACCTGCGGCGCCGGAGCGCTTTGGGCGCAGATCCCGAACCTTGCGGAGTTTGGGCTCTCTGAGTCGCTGCAAAGCGGACAGCGCAGCCTCCCAGCTGAGAGCAGAGCGGGCAGACGGCTAGGAACACTCTTCCTTCTGTGCAACCTGCGGCCAGGTTGGCGGCCGTGCACGATGGGCATGGCTCGCCTTCGCCCTTGGTGCCAAGCTGCCCCGAAGAGCAGCGACTCAGCAGCACTCCGATGTAACAGTCTTCAACAGTTCATCCCTAGAGCGGGTGTCAGGCAGCATCTGAGAGCTGCTCCCAACCTGCCGCTGTGGTATTTCTACACGGCAGTGGGGATTCTGGTGAAGGGTGGCTTGTCTTGACTGCGACGGGATCAGGAAGGAAGGAAGTCATGTCTCTGTTTGGCGCCAGGAGCATACCTGCACTGCTTTTGGTCAGGTAAGGTTGAAAGCATACCTTCGAGCTGTTGATGGTGGCAATCTGCTCGACGAGCTGGCAGTTCAGGGCATAAAAACCTACTGGCCTGACAGCGGTGTGCGCCCGCACTTGGACACAAGGAGTCAGTGTCCTTCAGTGTCTGTCATTCCTGCTGCCATAGCTCTTTTGTTGTCTGAGGTACACGCTTGCCGGAGGAGAGTCCATGCCAATCTGGTATGAGTCCTGGCAGCACATAACCACAGAAAACATGGAGCGGCGCGATTTAACTTTCGCAATTGCTGTGCAAAGCTTGTTTTATCTCAGGACCGAAAGGGCCTGCCGCCCACAGCGCCAGAAGACACTGCCTCTGTCGAGGAGTCTGTCCACAATCTTGTCAAGTTGCTCGACAAGGCCTATGTTTGTATGGAGCTCGTGTCCAGCATAAAGCCTGATCGCCTACACTACGTTTGAATTCGCCTGACCAGGTCAGGGCAGATGGTGTTTCTCCAAACCGCATCGTGATCGGAGGTCGAGATATGTTTGCTCGTGTTTTTGATGTGTGTTGCCCTCACTTGCGACATGTGTGCTGCAGAAGTTGTTTGTGGATGTGTTCAAGGCTTCTCCATGGGAGGCGGCATCGCCCTCCAACTTGCTCTGCGGTATCCGACAAAGATTGCTGCTGCTTTTGTGCTGTCATCCTTCATGTGTGATGATGCGGCTGCCTACGCACTGCTTCAGACTCCACCATCGTGCGCGACTTAGCTCGTTCAGTTTGCCGTGCACCTCAAACATGTGCAAAAGAAACTCATCGTGAGTGTGAGGGTGGATGTTCCCATCTTGATGATGCACGGCGAGGCATTGCCAGATTACATTGACGTGTTGAAAGCTTTCGGGGCAAGTGACTTCTAGGTCAAGCTGCAAACTTTTTGCACTCCCGACAGGCTGATTGGTTCATCCGGCCAGTCTGGGGCAGGGCCACGGCGACGCGCTTGAAAGATGCGGGGCTGAATGTCGACTTCGTTTCCATCCCGGGTTTACGTCACGAGATCAGCCGCAAGGACTGTCCGTCCCGACATTTCGCTCCCTATAAACATCATGACATCCCACTTAGTCAGGAGATCGCCCTTCTCCGAAATTGGCTCTGGAATCTGCTGAAGCTGTGAGAGCACCAATGCCGAGAAAGCTGCGAAAAAGGGTACGGACGTCGGACGCGACATGACGCGGCTCTCACAGCTTGTCTTCGCATTGCACCTGCGACGCCAGGATCTCAGGACGAAAGCGTCCACGTGAGGAGCGCCGAGCATACCCAGCCGCATCTTCATAACTTCATCAGTTGTGCCTGCGCTTCTGCCACACCATCGCAGCATGAGCGACGTCAGCAGCGCAGATGGTTGACATATGTTGACATGCAGCAATACGGCAATACGGTTCCGCAGAGGTTGATGCAGACTGCTTTACATCTACGCACGACAATGCAGGTTTTTCATTGATGAGCTGTGCTGATGTACTAATTAACCACTGCAGCATTAGCTAGTGCTGCTCTCAAGAGCTTCAGCAATGCCGACCAAAAGCATCAGCATGCAGGCTCTGTGTGGCTCCCGTATGCAACGGTCATGGAAACGATGGAAATGCGTGCCGCGAGTCTTGCAGGTGCTGAAGCGTGGGCAGCAGGTGAAAAAGACTGTGGACCTAGCAGAAGGTGCAACAGTCAAGGCGGCTTGGCTTCTTTCGCAAGAGGTGAGCAGGGGTATGGGCCAATGGGCATGCAGCAAATGTCAGAACTCGATTCCTAGGATGTCGTCGCCAAGTTGTCGCAGCTGTTCCCTGGTTGCCTTGAATGGAGTCGATTGTGAGCGTAGTGACCTGATTTCGATGGATGTAAGATCTGAGACGAGGACTGGGACCTCCAAGTCATCTCTGTTTGTTGCAGAAGTTCGCAACCTCGACAAAGTGCGTCTTTTCAGTGGTGAGGCCGGGTCCAAGTCTTCAAGTCGCCTTTGATTCCGTCGGTTCTAGTGGCATCCCAGGCTAGGAAGTGGTTAAGCTTCCGAGTCGCTCTTCATGGCCGATGCCAGGGTCTGTCACTGGCGCTTGCAAGCGGTGCGTAGAACGCAGAGCGAGGTGGCGGGTAGTGACACTGGGACAAACACCGATGCACAAGTGAGGTGCCAGTTCAATTGCTCCCGGCCGCTTCAGACTTTCTCCAGATCGGAGGATTGCTGCCTTCATATTCCCTTGTGGCTTTTTCCCTGGAGCGGTGGAGCAAGCCTCCCAGGTCCCAGTGAGTTGTCGAAAGAAAGGCAGAAGCTGCGACCGGATCGCTGAGCCGTGACGGTGGGGGCTGCGAATGAGATGAACGTTTCATTCCATGTCTTCGGCTGCGTTCCTCCTGCTTTGGATTGGCTTGCCCGAAGCATCCTTGGTGAGGGGCTTTGGCACTTGACAAACAGCGAACAGATTGTAAGCAGGCTTTGATCTGACAGGTGGCGGGGGCAAATGGGTGCATGTGGCTGGGGGCTGGGCTAGACTTGGCTAGACTCAGCGACACGGGAACGCTTGTGGATCGGGCCGCCTGGAGTACTTGCTATCCTCCTGACCGTAGATCACGGAGGCTCCAACGGGCACCTTTGAAGTTGGAGGCTTGGAGACCATCGAGGCTGGAACCTCTGAGCGGACTGTAGGGATGCCTTTGCCACTCGTAGCTCTAGTACTGTACTTGCCTCCAGGATTTGCCAGAGGTCATCCATGTGGAGTGCCTTGCTCAGATTACACGTTGACATGTTCCTCTGGCTTTCGCCTAGAGCTGCTTTTGTCGCAGAAGTTGACTACTGTTGCATTTACACATTCATATCGTTGTGTTGTATTTGCAATGGGCTCGCCAATGAGAGGGCCGTGTTCAGCAAGTACATTCTACATTCAGCATCAGCAGCATTGTAAGTACATTCGGAGTCCATACAGCATAGGAATGAATTTAAGCACAAGAAATTGAAACACTTAGTTCCAAGAAGTGGGTTTTTTTGGTACATCTTTCGGGCCCGGGCCCGGGCGACCGAGAAGAGAGGGGAGGACTCAGCTCTCGTCTCTCGTCTCCCGTGTGAGGCACCAGGTGAAGGCGCTTGGACTGCAGGAGTCGCTGCAGAGCCTCGGCTTCATTCGCAGCAGGCCTTTCTTGGATGAAACGCATCGCTGAGGCTTCTGGATGATCTGATCGTTGCTTATAAGGCCGCCAGTCGGCTGCAAGACAATTTGCAGACCACTTCTTGGAGTGTGCAGCTGCGATGATTGTAGCGTGAAGTGGAGGCGTGTTGGTTGCTGCTACCTAGGCCGATTTTCAGGCGAGCCTCTCCAGGTTCCAGCAATCATTCCTGGATGGTCAGACGGACATTCGTCAATACAGTGTTCTGCTGGATCCTTTGCTGAAGCTCATTACATGCGAAGATTCGTCCGTTGCATGATCACGATTGACTATGCGACACTCTTTACGACTTTTACAGTGCTGACGAGGCAGATGTGGCAGGGCATGCACAGGAGCCTGTGTTTGCCAAATGGGGATATGACGCCACCACTTCCGGAAGGATGGAGCCACGCCGACAAGTTAAACCGCGCAACCCCAAACTGGAAGTGTGGAGATGCTTCCTGCCATGAACCCAGATTCCTTTGAAATGCCACCCGAGGACATGTATGCTGCCATGCTGGATGTGCAAAATTTGGAAGAAGTCAGAGCGAAGCAGCTGGAGGTGAACAGGCTGTTACCCGGCAGAGCATTTGTGCTTCGGCGTTTTGTGCTTTAATGGCAGGTGGACGAAACTTGACAACTTCCTGAGTGGTGTATTTCAATTGCTTTCGTTTGTTCGTGGCATCCATGCAGCTGATGCTGGCGGACAGAGTGTTGAGTGGATTCTGGCTGCGCGATGTTCGTTCTTGGCATTTGAGGCTCGGACAGACTTTCGAGTGGCTGCCAGAAGCAATCAGACCGGCTTTGCCGCCTTCATGAGTTCAGCAGAACATCCGGGATCTCAATGCCGGCCGATTGAAGCTTGGTAATTGCTGCGCTTAATACTTAGTACTTCGTGTAGCAGTTCTGAGCGGGTGACCAGCAGGTGCTGTTGTCAAGGATATTGAACATGCACCGCTGTGCTCTTTGCCTTTGTTGTACATTGATTGGTCTATGCAGGTTGAAAAGGCAGCAGTGCCAGGGTTGTTCGGCTTTGCTGAGCGATGTTCCATAAACGAGCAGTTCGCGCCCAGTTGTTGCAGTCCCACTCCAGATCTGTCAAGTGGGCTGCACTGGGGCAGGAGGCGGCTCAGAGGCGCCGTGCAAGGCAGAGCAAAAATTGTGGGGGTTGTGAGCAGAGTCTCCAGGAGTAGCCTTAGCAGGCCCTGCTGTCTTGACTGGCTCTGTTCCCGCACTTCTACCACATGCGAGGCCAGTTACTTGGCAACCGCAGGGCGAAGGTCTGCATTCAGGCGACCGAACTTTGACGTGGTATGGACTTTGCGGGGGGCATGCAACTTGACCCGAGTAGGTGTTTGGCTGAAGCTCGAGATCTGGAGCAAAGGAGGAGCGCAACGAGTGCTTGAATGCCTGCTGCAGCTTTTGGATTGTGTGCTCCCCAAGCCCCAGGCCTTGCATCAGACAAGGCCTGGTTCTCGGGGCGCAACCCCGAGGGCGGAATTAGGGCGGAATTCGGGCGTAGTCAAGCTGCAGTGTCTGCAGGCTGCGCCGGAGACTGAGGCTGCGGTCTCTGCAGCCATGGGTGGCCAACCTACAGTGACAGTCCGTGCACTCAGATGCTTTCGAAATTGGATCTGAGCGATGCCCCACACCCGAGACACGGGTGAAGCCATGACTTCTGCGCCTGCTCCTGAGATGGCAGAACGCTCGAAGACGCATCACGGACTCTTGACACAAGCCTGGCCCGCCATGCTTCAGGCCTGGCCGTGCTGCCCTGTCGCTCCTGACGCCGGAGCCCCGGCGCAGAGCCCGGGCTGGTGACCTGCATCCCCGGCATCGCGCTGGGACAAGTGTTTGCATATTACCTCTCCAGCATATCTTTCTCGGATGCACCATTCCTCGTAGCATCTACATCATTCCACGGCGCTCCCAGAATCACCAATGCCAGCGCTTGAAAGTGCAGCTCGTGAATCCTCGCCTGCCATCCTCTTCTGTAAATGTCATCGCTAGAAAAATGTAGCCCATGATGGATGGCATCTCGATGCAACAAATCCATGGTGAAAGCCTCGAAGCACGGGAATTGCCTGGTCGATCCCTGATCCATTCATCTCAGAGTTGCTGTATCAGATGGAAGTGGATTGTGCGACTTGCTTGCAAGTCGGCAACTGGTCTCACAGGTGCTCAGTTTCAGATGCTTGACATCAGTCCGACTGAACCGAATATAATAGTCTGGTGCAGCTCAGGCTTGCGGTCCTGGTTGTGGCGGCTACAGCATGTGTGGTTGCAATCGTGCTTGCTCAAGCAACCGCGACGCTTAGTTTTGTTGCATTAGAACGTCCATCGGCAGAATTGGTCGAGTATAGGTAGTCTGCGCAATACTTGCGACGAGAAATTCAGGGTGATGCCCGCGACTACAACTACGGCTGCGCAAATCATCACCTCCACTAGCTCTGCGCCGTTCAGTCCATGGTGTGAAGGAACCACAGAGAGACTCACGTCATCCTGTGCCGGACAAGTGATCCGTGTAGCTTGGCAAGCCTGACAATTAAGCGGGAGTTCTTTTGTGTAGCAGCATGATGGCAAAAATGCCCTGAAGGAGCAAACGTTTCAACTCTATCTCTTCCCAAAGTGGGATGGTGTTTTTGCTTGTACGGCGGCAGGCCACGGAGGGAGCTACCTCTCCTTTCGTACGGGAGGGTGATGAGAGTTGAGGGCTTGGTGACTAGGCAGACAGCGTGCCACGGCCATGGGTCAAAACCCGACTGCAGGTGCATCAGCCATTTCAGCTGTGCGGGCGTGGCGCTGCCAGAGTGCCAGCTGGATGCTTGCGGCGAAGCTTCGCTGGAAATCACTGCGTCCAGCGCATCCTTTCGAAACATCAGGCATCGAGGTGTCAGTGCCAAGCGCCGACTGACTGATCTAAGCTTGGCCAGTGCCCGGAGGCTTGACCGCGATATCCTGAGCATACCAGTGGAGTATTTCCGAGATATTAATAAGCTCTCTGACCAGTGTCGGAGCCCGAGCTGGCAGCCCTGCTGGGCTCCGTCGGTCCGTGCACGAGTATGGCCGTCGGCCGTCAGCTTTTTGAGCCGAGCAAAGGTCCAGAGCATGCTGCGGAACTCTTGGAGGCGCTCCTGGCAGCCGGGCGACGCGCCACTGGGAGGCAATGGAGATGGAAGATCTGAAAGCTGAAAGCTTTCAGCCTCCTGCGATCACCTGTGACCGCGCCAAGGTCTTCGTGTCGACAGCTGCAGGTGGCCCTGGTGCTCCGCAGCCTGAGTTCCAATGCGTTCACCTGTGCCCTGGTTTGCAAGCTGCGCGGACCTTTGCATCTCGAAAACCTCACTTTTCCTGCATGGCGGCAGCCCAGCTTCCAAACTCTAAGCCAGGCTTGGCAGAAAGAGGGAGAAAGGGGAATGTGGAAGACAGGAGGTGGGTGCGGTGTGGGGACTAGTATGCTCTCTCTCAGTACGTATTCTTAAGGCATCTCCGCTCTTCCGGGTACCGCCATGACGGGGAATTCTGGAAAGTAGTCCACACGCAGCTCACTCCATGGTCTTTCGGCCGGGTTCTGAGCCAAAGCTACACTTTAGGACTGCAGCTCCCGCATCTTTGCAACCTCCGCAAGTGGTTGCAGGCAAGTGTTTGTGACCGCAGCAGTAGGTGTGCATATCCCAACGAGCACTTGCTGATATGTCAGTCTTGCACATTTTGCCTTGCTTGCTGGCCATGATTTCGCATGGAGACATTTTACAACAACTCTTAGCTGCTCGGCGGTGCCACCGTGCCGACCAGCGTAAAGCTGCCTGCTGAAAAGTGGTCCCTTTTTTTGCAAGAATCCGATTTAATCTTGACGCTATTGGGCCGTCATGAGTGAAAGTTTTGCTCAGACACGAGCGGCATGCGCAGTATCTTGAAGTGTCTCTTGACGTAGCAATCACATGACTGGAATGCCACGCATCAAGCCTGGGTCCTTGGGGCGGACACTTGATTTCCTGGTGATGGCTACGGTTTGATGCAAGACACAGAGAATGCAGACGGGGTGTGCATCGTACAACATGCACTTTTCGAGTAATTGTGTTCCCATGTCGACCACAGCCGAACCCGGATCCTGAGATCTGATGCTGACTTGCTGCTTGCCCGTGATGAGAGACATGCGCTTAACGTGGTAGGATATAGACGACAAAACCTCCCCGCGAAGTATAACTGCTGTATCCCGTCTTTCGGAGTTTCCAGGGTGCTACGGTGTTGTGGTATTTGCCAGAAGTCTTGCTTCTTGTTGATCTTTGCAATTGCATCTAATCGGAGAGCCATGTTGCGTTGCGCTTTACTCAGGTACCCCTACGTCTCTGTACCATGGCTTCATGTGCACACTTTCATCGGGTCTGTGCCATCTGAAAAGCTGCCGGGCAGTCCGCCAGTTGCAGCCTGCGCATCGGCAACGGCAGCTTGGCATGTGTGAGAGCAAAAGAGGAAATGGGTTCTTTGCACTGTTGAAAAAACTAGAAGACAATTGGCCCGAAAGCATCATCAGCGAAGAGTGTTGCGCTACGGTATAGAATCCAGTCTATAGGATCATAGCGTCACCGAGTCAAAAGCTCAGAGTCACAGAGTCGGAGTGTCACATACAGTCAAGAGGCGTACAAGTCATAGTTCATAGAGTCATAGAGTCATAGAGTCACAGTGAGATAGAATCATAGAGTCATAATGTCATCGAGTCATATAGTCAGAGTGAGAAAGAGTCATAGAGTCATCATAGAGTCACAGTGAGATAGAATCATAGAGTCATAGTGTCATAGAGTCATATAGTCAGAGTGAGAAAGAGTCATAGAATCATGGAGTCATCTATGTACCATGCACTTGACTCGATGTAGTTCACTCTATGTGTGGGGACGCTCAATCGAGATCCCCATAGCGTGAGGGCTCATACCCTGACCTGGACCTCGATCGTGTCGCAGCAGTAGTAGTAGTAGTAGTAGTAGTAGTAGTAGTAGTAGTAGTAGTAGTAGTAGTAGTAGTAGTAGTAGTAGTAATAGTAGTAGTACTCCTGTAACAGCAGGACCCAGCTACTCAAGGACTCAAGGAGACGGTGGAGATTCGATCGAGGCAGGCGTCGAGTGAACATGTACATAGGGTCATGGGTCTAGGTTCGAGGGTTACCCTTGCGTCGCGCTTTTTTCCGGCCCGTCATACTTTCAGCGCAGGAAAGGCAGCCTGGCGAGGTGCCGGGAGAGGTCATCCGAGGAAAAGAAAGGAAGAGGCAAGGGTATAAAACCAGGGAACCTCGTGAACCCAGTGCATGATTGTTAGCCGAACCTCCAGGCTCCAGAGGAAGACAACGGGCTTATGGGGTCCTTATTTCGCGCAGGACTAATGCACGGATCACGGTGGTCCAGAGCCTCGTTTAGAAAGACTAGTAGTAACTTTCCCACACGTTTCAACCCTGGACCACGCCAATCCATGCAGAGGGTTACACGCAGCGCCTAGAACGTGCAACTTTACCTGTTGCACACGAACCTTTAAATATGTAACTTTACCCAGCGTTTGAACGCTCTACCAGGCCAATCCCTGTGAAGGGTTGCGCGCGGCGCCTAAAATGTGCAACTTTAGCTAGCGTTTGAGCGCTCGACGAGGCCAATCCCTGTGAAGGGTTCCGCGCGGCGCCTAAAATGTGCAACTTTAGCTAGCGTTTGAGCGCTCGACGAGGCCAATCCCTGTGAAGGGTTCCGCGCGGCGCCTAAAATGTGCAACTTTAGCTAGCGTTTGAGCGCTCGACGAGGCCAATCCCTGTGAGGGTTGCACGGGAATCGGTTAGTACAGCGTAGTGTGCGTAGGGTTTCACCTCGGTCTCACCGCACGTTTAGGCTCAAGGTAGCTTAGTTTTTTAGGTAGCCCGGGGCTCCGCAAAGCGTGATGGTGTGGGTTCCCGCGAGGGCCATAGCAGGCGCTGCCTTGCTTACGGCTAGTACGCTGCAGAAGTCTTTTAATTCCACTACCACCACAACCCCGTTCCCGGCGATAGAGGAACCGAGTGAAGTCCCTGACCTTTGGGGGGTCCGAGGACTGATTTCGGTCCCGGACCTGTCCTGGCTACCCTTCGTGGGAGCATGGATGGAGGCCGAGGAACCAGAGCTTATCGGTACCACTTCCACACCGGAGGAACCTAGCGGTTGGGAAAGCTGGAAAGCGTTTCTCTGGGACCTTATGGTCCAGAGAGTCCTTCCGATATGGGACCTCTGCAAGGTGTATGCACAGCAATATTGTGGCCCGTTATGCTCATCAATCTTATTTGCGGTTCGCTGGACGTACTGGCTCATGGTCGGAATAGTTGGGGTATTCCTGCTGCAGCTAGGTGTCTGGACGTACACCTGGGTTGTCTTCCCAATCGTTGTGCACTCCAGAGCATTGGTCCGGTACTTCCGGGGAGACGCGCCCTGGAGTGAGGTCTCGCGACTTTTGGGAGAAAGGCCATTCAGGCCTAACTGGAAAGGTCCATGTGCTGGAGAACCGTGGTCCGTTGCATACGTGCAATCAGAGGTTAGAGGCAGGGGCCTCAATCGTCTACCGCACGATCTCCTGATTACGGATGGTACAGCGATTGCCAGACTCCGCCACGGGACCGTACGGGGCCGGACCAACCGGCACGGCTTCATTTGCGCGTGCGATGAGGTTAAGGCCTCATCCCACCGGTACTTCCGGAACCTTATCGAAGCCTCAGAGTGTCGGATCCACCTGTGCGCCCATCAGCCATGTACCGCGGAAGGAGAACCGGCAATTCACGTGGGCACCAGCGCGGTGGT